CTAAAGTCGTAATTTAGTAAAATGGTTCCCCATCATTGTAACCTATTAGCCGTATGAGTCAGTAGTCCTTTTTTGGACCCATAAATGGCTAACAATGGTCTGTGATCTGTTTGTAACATAAACCTTCCATGCATGAATCTATGAAATTTTTTCAGGACAAAGACAATCCTTAAACTTTCCTTTTCTTTCACAGAGTGATTTTTTTTTCAGCTGGAAGAAGTGTCCTGGATGCGTGTGCAATTGGTTTAACTGAACTGTCTTCAAGTTTATGCATAATGCAGGCTCTTATACCGTACGCACTAGCATCACTTGCTATGATCATTTCTTTTTTTGGATCATAGTGTATCAAAAACAAATCTGATGTTAGCATTTCTTTAATTTTCTCAAATGCTTCCTTGCATTCCATCGTCCAAGACCATTTAGCATCTTTCTTCAAAAGCTCATTCAACGGAGCTCACGAACAATACATATTTGGTTCAAATATATTATCATAAGTTGCTAACCCCAGGAAACTTTGTAGGGTACTGACATTTTCAGGAAGAGGTATGTACTTTATAGCACTAGCTCATGCTGGATCTGATCTCCTGCACTTCTTTTTAATTATCTGGCCTAAATATTTAATTTTGGCCATAAAGAATTCACGCTTTTCGTCTTTCAGCTTGAAACCATAGTCCTGAATTCTTCTGAAAACTTCAAAATTATTTTTCTTGTGTTCTGGATTTTCCCTTTTCAGCAAAATATCGTCAAGATAAGTGACCACAAAGTCCAATCCACTCAGCATTGTGTCCATTACTTGCTGAAAAAAAAAACAATTAAATTTGTACATCCCATGATATGTATTTAAGGTCAGTAATCTTGAACATTCGTCATCTACTGGAATATGAAGATACGCGTCACTTAGGTCAATTTTGGAAAATATCTGACTCCTACTAAGTTGCACAAAAACCTCTTCTGGCCCTGGATGTGGGTAATGATAACTTTTAAGGGCATCGTTTAAGCCATTGTAAAAATTCACACAGACATGTATCGCTTTCAACTTTTTCTTTAGATATATAAACATTTATTATACTTAAATCAGGTCCACTATCCAGTTGCAATTTGACGTTTTTTGTTCAGGATTTTTACCTAAAAAAATTTTCTTATATCAGATTTATCCATATTAGTAATTTTAATGTAATTACTCACTCATTTTTTACATTTTGTCTTACAGTGGGTTTTTTATGTCCTTTTTTCCCCCACACCGAAAACATTCTTTTTGTAAGGAGAGTCCTTATACCAATGTAATTCTCCACATGCATAACAGGTTTGGAGTAATGTTTTTTTTTTCTTCACTTTATGTTTCTGATGCACATTTTTAATGTGCAACACACTACTTATTTCAATATCTTTGGCATTTTGATGAATATTTATAAATTTCTGACAATCTTCTGCTAGGTTTTGCAATGTTAAATTAGGTTCATTTTCCAGTTTATTTAAAATCCGTCTCTGGATTTCAGAGTCTTTTGTTGACACCAACCCTTGCACAAATATCAAGCATTTAAAATTGTCAGGGCTTAATTCTGCCAGCTTGAACTTCTCACAATTTTCGTTCACAATGCTCACAAACATTGTGAAATCATCATCTTCGTTTTTCACTAAATTCATACATTTCTATCTCTCATGGAACAAGTAAGTTTTTGGGCTGAAGACTTTTGAAAGCAAAGTAACCGTTTGTTTAAATGTTGGGTGACTCGCTTTCTTTGGTAATATATAGTTTACAAATTAAATGTGTTTGACAGCACCTACTTTCCTTAGCAAAAGTCCAACCTTTTTGTCGTTGGATTAATTTGCACTGTCTTATATAAGTCTTCATATCTAAGGATAAAGAAGTTAACTCTTCTTCTGGTATATAGTGAAAATCAGCAATTGAATTTATGATAGCATCTTCAGAATATCCATTCTTATTACTCATGAACATTTTCTGTTGTTCTACCAAAATTTCCATGAGTTTTTCAAGTTTCTGTTCATCTTGCCATTTGACTATTTCAAGTAGTATCATTTTAAAGTCCTTCATTTTAAATCTTTTGAAGTATTTTTCACAAAGTTTTTTTTTTTTTTTACAGCTGTTTAACAAAACACTAAGTATTCCTACATAACACTTAATAGCGAGAAACACTCTTGACAATACATGAATTTTTTGTAAACTTGAATTTCATGTACCTTTGTTACATTTTTGTATTTGGAATAAACCTGTGTTTTGCTGACTCACAAAACTTGATACAAATTCATGTAGTTGTTAGAAAACTGTTTTTTTTCACTAATGAAGCCTTGGTGAATTTTAACGTGAGATAATGGCGATATTTTTATTCACCAAAGGTTGTGCTGGAGAACGTTTCCTTGAGTTCTAGCCAAATCCTTGACACCAAAATTTCGCTGTAGTGACATTTCCTTATTTGGGTAAATCCTTATCACTAAAATGTTGTATTTTGGACAATTCTCGTTGCCAAAATGTTGTATTTTGGCCAATCCTCAACACCAAAAAGTTGTAACCTAAGGAGAGGTTAGTGAATAGAATGATGAAAAGAAGGTTGGAAATGAACGACAATACTTAGGACAAGAATAACATATAAGATTCGCCAGCTGTGTGTAGAAGTAATCAACTGCTCAAAGAGAATCTCCAAATGAAAAGTCAACATACTGTATTTATTGGAATGGGGACATATCCATTATCGTCCATAGGTATGCTACAACAGATATTTTGAAATTACATTATTACAGGTGATGAAAAATGGGTTTTGCATGTCAACAGAAAACAAAAAAGATAGTGGTTATCAGAAAATGAGAAACCAATGCCAACATCAAAACCAGAATTCATTCAAATGGAATTCTTACTTTGTGTCTGGTGGAATAGGAAATGAAAGTTATTGTCAATTAAGAGCTACTGGAACATGGAAGGACCATCATTATAGACTTTTATTGTCACCAACTTAAGTAAATAAAAAAGGTTGTTACTTTCCAGCAAGTCAGTGCAATTTGCACACTCAGCAAAACAAACCCAAGAAAAAAAAATAAAATCATTAGGATGCTAGGTTCTTCCACATCATCCAAACTCACCAGATTTAACAATTACAGAAACAAAGAAGTTCAAAACAGTCTTTCAAACTTCTTTTTTTAGGAGGAGATGTCTTTAAATGTGGAATTGAAAATTTGGGCATCAGTCATAGAAAATAAAGGTGATTACATTTCTGATAAATAATATTTAAATTACATTTGTTTTATATCTTTTCTGATAAAACAAAATTACTTTCCAAAGAGCCTAATGTTTTAGTGGCTGTTTGAGTGTAAGTAGAAAATTGCATCATGGAAATATCTGCGATTTACATCATTTGCTTGATTTTTTTTTTTATATTTTATGTCAACCGCATGTTTCTTATATGTTGGCCAAATTTGAGGTTCTAAGGTCATAATGATGACTAATTTGCATTAAAAAAAAAAAAAATTTAATTTTGTTTTATTATCTTTTTCTATTCTGATCATTTGCAAATTTTTATAAATACAAAATAGATTTGTAGATGGCATTCATCTTTACATTGCTTGCCTACATACATTAGTCATATTTTAGCCCTGAAGCAGATGGCTAACCAAGCTGACTTATTTCCTGCCATTTATTATGATTTTCACTATACTTATTTACTATCTGTCACTCATCAGTTGGTGAATCTAGAATTATATTGTCCCTCCACCTCTGTTTTTATTTTAATTTACTTCTTTTTCCAGGCACCATATCCTCAAGACACAATTTATCTAACCCTGTACTAGATCTTTTATTTTTGTTCAAATAATTTGAAGGACTTCAAAGATTTTTTTAGAAAACCCAGACTTCTTTAAATGTCAAACTGAAAATTTGCTTTCTCATTTTGCTGCACTCATTGAAAATGAAATTACATTTCTGATAAATAATATTTAAATAAATTTATCTTACATTAATTTTTATATCCTTTGTGGTAAAACCTAATTTTGTAAGACTCTAATATATCAACACTTTGACTATTATTTAATCACCCAACATATTCAAACCCACAAAGATATTAAGAATAGAAATAATTTACGGTAAGATTCTTCAAATATAAGAGTGCAACATGAGAAATGGCATTTTCCTCAGATGTATATGGATCTGAGTAACATAGAGGGAATTTGAAACTGAATCCTTTATTTCATCTATGCGGGTAGACTGTGCTCCTCTTCCCATGTCTACGGATATCTTGCCTTAATTTTTGTTTTAATCATTTCCCACCAAGCAAGGTGAGAACACCATTAGAATGCCAGGGGTTAGTGGGAGTGAAAGAAAATGGGACACTGTTAGTGAAGAGAAAGGACAATAAAAAGAAGAGGTTTTATAGGGACAGAAGATGGTGATTGATGTTGCATTTAAATGTTTTGAGACCATATTTGACAAGGAAGCTGGAAGAGAGTTACACAAGCAAGAAGTGTGAGAGAAGAAACTATTAGACAAGAACTTATAGTTACAACATTAAGATGATGAGACCTAACTGCCAATCTAGTATTGCATTTAAATTCGTAAAGTTGAGTTATCAAAGAGGAAAGCTCATCAAAACAATTACCATGAAAATATTTACAGAAAAAGCACAGGGTAGCTACGTTACAGCAGTGGGAAAGTGACTGAAGCCAAGATGCTAGGTCAGGACCAATAATATTGCAGATTCTTCTTTGGATTTATAAATATCTCAAGATATATAACAGGAGCATCAAATCAGATGTGGCAGCAATATTCAATATATGGAAAAATGGTAGAGTTAAATATGCAATTTGCATTCTGGTGAGAAAAAATTTTCTGGTGCTACACTGAACCAAATTTCTTTACATTGGACTTAGAAACTGATTCAATATAATTGTTCCACATCATGTCACTGTGAAACATGAGATTGAGGAGATGTAAAGTGTTGCTCTCCCGGAGGTTGGCATCATATATAAATAAATATGAGATTACAATCATTACTTACGAAATTATTGTCTTAAATCGTTCAAAGTATTTGTCAGTCAGAGCAAATGTTCGGGAATCCTCCTGCAGCATCATTCCCAAAAAGTCAAGCATTATTTTAAAAGCTTCCAGAGCACGTGTCTTCAATTCGGGTGAACTGCAGATTTGCTGAAAGAATAAATTAGTAAATTTATCTCTCTCTCTCTCATTTCGTATGTGTGTGTGTGTGTGTGTATATATATATATATATATATATATATATGGGGAAATGATATATAAATTTTGATATACAAGAACAATTTTAGGAAAAACAATTACAAAGTGGAAAAAGTTTTTCATTTGACAGGTTTCATCTTTTATGACTTCACTAGACTAAAGTGATGTTTCTGCTGATATAACTACAGATTCATACAAAGGAAAGGTAGTAAAAATTCAACAAACTTTCTGTTGAGATGTTGAGTGTTTCCATGTGCGTGTATTGAAATAAGGACAAACACATACGTAGGGAAAAATACTGGTATATCTGAAGAGGTATTTACTACAGAGAGATTAGTAGTCAAACGAACGCAGGTTAGTCAGTAACAATCAGAAAGAGTATAAAGTCCAACTGTATCTTCCGGTAGAGAGACGGAAGAGTGATGGTCACCTGATCTCCCCAGAACTCTATAGAACTGTCCTATTAGTAGTAGAGAGATCAGTCCATTCTGATGAGAAGGTGGGTGCACCCCAACACCCTACCTAAAATTGTTTTTTTCATTGTGAAGAAAAAAAATTTTTTTTTTCACTTTCTTAACTGTTAGAAACACAAATATATATTACACAATAAAGATTAAGTTTATCATTCATGTATTTGTTATTTTGAAGAAAACTTTCCAAGAGAAAAATTATTAAGTTAAATTTAAGTGAAAAATTTTGAATTAATTTTATATGAAAAATGTTAAATAAAATTCAAAGTGAAAAAAAAAAAAACAAGATTTCTAACTTACATTTTTTTGAGAATTTCATGCACAAAATGTTTGTTTTTGCAATAAATATAAAATAATAAATCAAGTCCAGTGGAAATTAAATAATTAAATCTTATACTTACTTTTTCAATTAAGTAAGCTAAAGATTTCTTTGGATTTTGGTAAGCTGTCTAGAGCAACAAACAACTGCAAATCCAAACTGAATATAAGTGGAAATAGGAACTTTTGAAATAAGCCTCAAGTTCTGGCTCTTAGTTGCTCCATGAGTAGGCCTCTAGTATAGAATATCATGGATCCAACCCAAACAGCAAGCACTCTGAGGAGGCAGTCATCTTGTCATTCTTTTCTGACAAGGAGAACATCAACCAGTGATAGAACATGAACAGACAAAAATGGCAAGTGACCCAACATGGACCCCATGGCGGTATCTACAGTGATGCACACAAAAACACATGTCATCTTTGATGGTCCCAGGAGTTGTGAACAATGAGAACCATATGATGCCACCTCACTTCTTCCCAGAGCCTCAATACCACTACCTACATCAGAGTAGAGGAGGCTGTATCTGTTCTGATATGACTGTTCATTTATCACATGATCGATATGTCCCAGAAGTGGCTAGCTGTTAATTTTCACAATTATCTACTGAAGCATCATGAAACTCTCCTTATTTGAATTCTTTGGACTACTTGACGTGGAGCAAAGAGGTGTCAGTTAACTTCAGCTTTACTTAATGTTTCTTCAACTTTCTTCAAACAAACTGTATATGGTTGCTTACTTCAACGTCTTCACCAGTAAGCAGTGGAGCATGACGGTTCTGTCCAGGCGTTCTATTAGGAAATAACCTGTAAGCATGAATATAAAAATTGTTTATTATTTTTGTTGTCATTTCTCAAGAACAAAACATTGTATAATGTATTTATTTTCAATTTTTCTCGTTGAACAGTTTACCTATACTGCATATGATCCATTATTATAATTAATTAAATTACAATGCAATAAACTTAGTTTTTTACATGAATACAACCTTATGAAAATTGAGATATAGTAGAGTGGAGGACTCTGTATCATAGATTGGAGGGGGCATATCATAAATTCAGGATTATGGAGGAGCACGAGACCTTTGAACCAGCCCAGCGAGTTCTTATTTGTAATATTTCATTCATTCTCTTCAAACCATCTGTCCAAGTATATATTCCTAACTGTCTGCACTAAATGATGTTGGAGATTTTTCATGTTTCTGAAACATGATAGATAGATATCCGAGACATGAAATAAGAAAGTGTACTCTGTTTCTTATATTACATGTAGGTATTTTATTCAGGGTGTCTGAATGGATAGGTAGATGATACTTGAGACAACTTCTGCAATATCAGATCTTCCTCTTGCCAATTGCTCATTCATCAACTCATCCCATCCATCTACTCATCACATGTGGCTGGCATTACAAAGTGAGGGTGTTGAAATGTCAGCACAAGCACATCTATTTCCTTCCAGGAGTTGACCAATAACTTCTTATATGCCAATTTACTTCTGTATTACTCCTTGGTCAAAATGGATGTCACTTAGAAGACCAAAACTTCAAGAGGAACTATCTGCTGGTCCATTAAAAAGAAACACTTTCTTTGTGGGTGTCCATAGTATCACAGAGGAAGAGGGTGACAGGTTACTCCTAAAAGGAGTTTCTTCCATCAAATCTTTTCAGTGAGAATTTTGGCCTCTTAGTGAACATGCAGACCTGAAGCTGCTAGAAATTGGAAGTTTCTCTCCCACTCTCTCTCTCTCTCTCACTGCAGATTAAAGTAAAAGTTCAAGGTTCATGGTTTAATTTCCTGAAGATTACATGGATTAACAAATACCTAAAGAAAGACAGAGGGCATAATGGCTGAAATTTGATGATAATACCAACAAAAAACTGAGGACAATAATCCAAATGTAAATGAAAGAAATAAGTAAAGGATTATGTAAAAAAAAACAAAAAACAAACTAATGGCAAAATATTGGTCCATGTAACAGATTTGGTTGGGATTTAGTAAACTAGATTTTACTTACCACTGGATATAATTATTGAAGTCATCCAATTGTTCATAATTTCCAATCCAGTCTCTTAGAATTGTTTCAATATAAAAACCTTTGAATAAAAAATAACATTTTCTACAATATAAAATTTATTTATGTATTTTTTGTTTAGTGACATATCAACTCTTTATGGGTCATTTAATGCCGAAATTTAATTTTCTTGAGAGCATTAATAATTTCTTTTACAAAAATGTATCGCTGGTAATATTTATTCTCTTTTTTTCTTAATTTTATTTTTATAAAAATATACTGCTTGTGATTTTTTTACTATAAAACTTATACTTTCATAGTGTCTTGACTCCAGGTTGGGGGGTTAACTATTTCCCTATAGCTGGGACCCTAACAGGTCAGGGTGGATCTAGGAACAACAGCAATCAAGTGGTGGTTCCATGCTCCTCAAATCCTTCCAATCAGAAGTCTTGCTGCCAGATGTAGTTTATCGTCATACCCAGGACAGACTTAACTATAAAATTTATGAATAAGTTCAAGTTTTGAGAAAATATCACTATCTTTATTGATTTCATGATTATTAGATACTTGCAGTAGAGCCCGGCATTGCCCGGGGATGTAACAGTAAGAGATAGATCAAGTATTGACCATCATAAAGACTGAAAAATAAAATTGATAAAGATTATTATTTAAGGTTGACGGACATGCATGTCTTTTTTTTTTTTTTAACGAATTGGTCAAACCCAAACTCAAACAAAAACATTGTTTACAATCGTTACGAGTCTATCAATTGATGAATAGAATTTTATTATAAACAATTGTCTTGTAAATGGAATTTTTAAAGCATTCTGAATGTAAAAATAAAGAAAAAAGTGGGCAAGACAATAAGAAACACTACCTGCCAAAAAAAGTGAAGTCTTGTTGAAATCAGTTGAAAAACGTAGAAAATCCGATCCCATATATAAACGAACACACACACATACACACAACCAACTAACCTTTTACGTAGTCCTGTGAAGTTTTGTTGAAATCGGTTGAAAATTGTAGGAAATCCGATCCAATATATAAATGTAACAGACACACACAATCTGCGTTTTATAATAAGTAAGATTTTGCCTACATAAAAAAGATACTGAGAACTAAGTACAGTTTTGTGTAGCCTGGTCTTTTCCTTTAGTCTTCAGAAATTAAGTATCATCGAGCTTGCTCAGTACCTAGATGGTAGACTTCTTGGGAAAACCAGATGCTGTAAACTTGGATGTGCAGATGGTGTAATGGATAAAGGTTTAGAATTACAAGTCGGAGAGACAATTTCCAATTCCAGTCACACAAATACCCTTGGGTAAGGTATGAATCCACTTCTTCCCCCCCAGCTATGGGTTAATTAGTAGGACTTGTAGCAGTAAAGTCTTATTATATACAAACAATGTTCTTACAATCTAAAAGTATTTTCTGACTTTAACCTGTAAAAGGTTTATAAGCCATAAGAAACAAATCAATCAATCAATGCAATGGCAATTGACGAGAGATTAGTCATATTGATAGAAATAAATATTGAATTTAACAGAAAAATTATATATATAGGTACCTCCACAGATTCGCTAAAAAGTGACCATAAATGATAAAAAAATGCCCCAAATTTAATAAAATCAAAGTTTTATTTTCAAAGTCTTTATGTTATTATTAAGAGGAAAAAACCAAACAATGTTTTGATTATTATTTTTATCCTATTTAGAATGTTCAAGATTTTGGCTAAAATTTTCTTTTTCTTGTGCCAATGAGGAACCAATGGATAGTAAAGCAAATTTTAATGTTTTTTTGCGGTGAAAAATGTTGATTTGGATTGTAATTAAACTTTCAGCTCTTCACAAATGAATTAAATTACTTTAAAAATGTTTCTTTTTTAGAAAATCATGGTAAAATTTTTTTTCAATTACTAGGTAGTTAAAAATTATATAAAAAAGCCACTCATGTTATATTTCTCAAGCAATTTTCAGATATAAATTAGATAAATTTCTGGCTGTTAGCTAAGCTGTTAACCTATCAAAACCTTAAATAAACACCTACTTCCATGTTAAAAAAGGCATTTCTGTGATATTTAAAGTAAATATGTTTCAAATTTGATTAATTAAACTAAATCAGTTAATATTCTTCAAATGAAGCTTGAGAAAAGTATATTTTATTTTTTAAAGGTTTTTCAATAAAGAAAATTATATTGTGCTCACAGATGACTAAAATGGCTAAGATCAGCAATAAAAAAAAACAATCTATCAATTTAAATTAGTTTGAAATACAGCAAATTATTTTGCTTATTGGAAATATTGAATTTAAAAGCTTGAAATTAAAACTAAAACAAAAGCTTCAAGAAAGATATTTTTAATTTTTAAAAGTTCATTTTAAATGTTAGGTATCACATTACTTACTTATATATTTGTAATGTTTTTGTACAGTTTTACTGCGAAAAAATTTCCAAATTATTTATCAATAAGTGGTAGCTGAAAATAATATAAAACATAGAATATACTGTTGTTAGAGGAGTTTTTCTTATTTACTTAACACTTCTTACCTTGTGGCCCAGAAGGAATTTCATTTTTGTAGAAAGCAATAACTTCAGACTGGTTATTTGCTGATTTGACAAAGAGAAATAAAATGACATTAGGAGACTTAGTTATGTTTTTATTCATCATTTTTTTTCAAGTCAAGATGGTAAGAAATAATAAAACATCAATCACTTCTTTCAATTATTTTATCCAAGAAAAGACAAAATGAATAAACTGAAGAATAATTTCTATTGCTTGAAAATTAATTCATATTAGCTGACATTTCTTTTACATAGATTAAATTTTTCACAATATGAAAGGCTGCACAACTTTTATATATAAAACAATTGTTCATGATAAATTGTTGATTAAAAGTATATATGATTGTACAGAGAGGATAGTTTCATTGAATCCCGATCAGAATCCTACCAAAAACTTTCATTCTTCCAAGATTTCAGATTTTGGTTGTTTTTGTTTCTGATCTTTCTGCAATGACAACTAATTTTAATTAAAAATGGGATAAGTAATTTGAGTTTCATAGTAGCAGCCATTTGTATAGAATAATTCCACAAAACTTACAAATTTCAAATTTTATAATACACACACACACACACAAGTTTTTTCTTTTGTGGACACAGAATGTGTAGAAATTGTCCAAATGTTCTGTAATTCCAAGCACATTTGGCTATGCTTTTATCCATTATCAAGGATGATTTTATTTTTGCTTTTTAACTGGGTGTATGGGTTGTGTGTATGTTTCCAGAGTTTTATTTTATTATTGAAATTCTACACCAATCACTGTCCCAACTCAAGGTGTGTGGAGACATAGTAGTTCTTGCAGGATATCCAACATGGAAGTTAACTTTGAACTCATCATAGGCCCAATGTCTGATTGGTTAATCGAGTTCATGCCCCTAGCATGCTAGAAATTTGGGTTTTCCCACCTTTCTCCCTGAGGGTATTGCTGCTTTTAAACCATAAAATGACTGTTTATTCTCCAGTTGACCACCACCACCTGAAGAAACACAAAGTGCTGAAACAAGATTGCATTTATGTAGCAGTTTATAACATGTTTTTTTTTTATAATTGTTAATAAACATTATTATATATATATATATATATATGAGATAATTGCTGAATTTATCCAAGACCATTTTTATTGTTAAAATAAAAGTTTGAATGATAAATAATAGGGGGAAATCATCTGTACAGAAACCATTTGTCAAAAATATACCAAAAGAAAAACATTTTAACTTCAATTTAGATTAATATATACATAAATTGTTACAGGTTAATGTTAGTTTGGGTTTTTTTCTTTTTAGTCTGTTCAAAGTTCTTATGAAAATGTTTTCAAACATCCATGTGAGAGACAAAATCTCAGTTCAAGATATCAAATTTAGTGTCAGGAATGGAGGCTGACAGCTGCAGGAATACACATGCTGCATGTTTGACCAATGAGAACTAACCAAAAATCATAACATACCAGTGATTGGCACATGCATCAAACCCAACCAATGACTAAATTCATTCCAGACCTATGTTGTGACCTCAGCCAAACCAACCCATGAAATTGGTCAACTCCTGGCACTACTCTTACACCTAATCACCTGATAATCAACAACCAAAATCAACCTTCTCTTTAATTTTCTAACATATGTAAATATATCATGTATATTAAACAAATACACACTGTTTGAAAATCTAATTAATCCTTGTTATTACTTTCCTTTCGCAACCAAACACTCATAACACAGAGATGTAAATCAAATGGGTCAAAGATTCACATTGCAACACACAACTACCTCTTGATTCACAGAGCAGCTAAAAACTGTCCTGTAGGCTAAAGTAGAGTCTCCTTATTTGTGTAAGAAATGTTGTAATTGGTTAAGACTAGCAGGGAAGTGCAAACAATTTCCATATTTTGAGACCTACTAAAGTTGACTTGGTCTTTATTTGGTTTTTCATTTGACAGATAGCACAAAGTACAATTTCTTTTCCAAGGTAAGACTTGTTTTTCTCCTCTATTGTTACAAGAAGACATCAGACTTCCCTAATATCAAGCACAGAGTTATTCCATTGATTGCATCTTATTGTTGTACACATCTTTTAATATTACATACATCTTTGAAAATTAAAAAAGAGTAAAATATTGACAGAAATTTGAAAAAGATGATTCATTTTCAAAGTAAGCATAGCAGTCATATACTTGCATACTGTTATAAAATAAAATAAGACATATCTCAGCTGATTTACAGGCAAATACTCAAGAGCGAGAACCGGATGTGAACGGGACAAAGCCCCGTCACAAAATGACCATTATGTTTCTTCACAAATGTTTCCGACAGACGTGTTCCGGTCGAAAAATAAAATAATAATTAAAGTGCTCTATTTTTCGTCCAATAAAAATGCTTCCCTCCTAATTATACTTGCTTCATTTCTCGAGCCTGTTAAGCCATAAAATTCGCTATAAAAGGGGTCACACGGAAGTTCAAAGGCAGTCAACTAATGGCTCGGGAATGCCCACGTTAAACAGGCCTTGTGCCACATGACACCCTCGTGGGGGGGGGGGGTGACTGAATATCATCAACACGTGGCCACAAAGGAGACCGGTCACGTTCAGCAGCTGTCAGCAGGAGAGCACCAACCACCGTCAACATGTGTGAACTACTATGAGAGATCGACCAGATCCGAAAACCGGCTTATGAACTTTACCAAAATAATAGAAAGTCAATTTTCTGATAAAAATGTTGGCTTGTCAATTTGTAGTGATATAGACAAAATAGATTTGCTCTATTTTGCATAGAGTCACTCGTCACGGAAGAAGAATTTCTATGTCACAGACTAGAGAAAATAACGTAACACAATTTTCAAATATTTTTTTAAGAAACTGTATCAGACTGTGGAGGTGAGAGGATAGACAAAAATGGAATTTCCCAAAAGTGAAAACGGAATTAAGAAAATTTGAAACAGAAAATCAGTCCTGTACGTTATGGTTGCATCTGGCTACTTAGTAGTAAGTAGTTGAACTAGTTGAAGCAGTAGCCGCCACTAGTTCAACAGTGAAACTTAGTTGCTAATCCCTAGTTGTATGCTTAAATTAATACATTTGTGTTATGCCAACAATTTACAGAAGCTCCTAAGATAGATTACTCAAGCGGTAAGCCATATACAAATGGAAAGTAATCAAACTCTGTTTTTGTTCAATTCAATCATGTTAGGAGGCAGTGGTGACAAGATGTGTATTTGTAGTTAGTTACCCGTTCAGAGAGACAGTCCCCAGGCAAACCAACTTTTTGTTTCGACTTAGCTACATACACCCACGCTACAGTTAATCACGTTTTTCTTTTTCCTTTTGATGTTGTTCTGTAGATAGGTATATTAAAAAAAAAAAATGTGATAAATTCATTTATTTTGAAATTTTTCAACCAAATTTCATACAAATGGTTCAAGTCAAGTTTGTTGAGTCAGCAACTGATTTTCCCCTGTTTAGTCACAAGTAAAAAATAATTGCTTTTTAGAACATTATTAGCAAATAAATTACTTATTACAATGATATTTAGAAATTAAAATTCAACCTGACAGCATTTATCAGAATCAAAAACAAATCCCAAATGAGAAGTTTGTTTTCTTTTTCATGATAAACGATTTTTTTTTAATCAATTATAGAATCATTTATGACTTTTTTTGTCAATTCTGTGAATACAAATCTTTAAAAAAAAATCTGAAATATTATAGAAAGAACTTAAATCTAGAAAAATCAGAATAATTTCATCTTAATATCGTTTTCATTATGACTTAGCATTTTTGGGGTCATGACCTAACAAAGATATTTTGGAAATGTTTTTGTCATTTTTAATTCTGATATTTTTTTTACATTTGATTTCTGAGATCAGAAAAATGATTATCCTCTGACTTAAAAGATCATTTCAAAATAGAAAATTCTGAAAGAACTCTTTAACCAATAATAAAGTATAAAAAAATGATTTTGACTCACTAGTAATTGCAGGTTGTGGGAGTATTTGTTGTATACTTGAAGTTTTATTCTGAAAAATAAGCATTTTTAAATGAATAACTTCTATGAACAAATATTCACTGCGAGAAAAATAACCAGTTCATCTCTAATATAAACAAAATTATTAATAATACAAAATACGCTATTTATATTATTCAGGCTATTGTCCTCATCTTTATTGTCGTATTTATCACATTTCAGACGTTGTATGCCCTGGCCTTCTTCAGGTGGAACTGAACCCTTTATTTCACTCGCTGGGGTAGACTGTTCTAGTTCCATGTGCCATGTCTAATGGATGTCAGTTATCAGTCATCTCCTGTTAATTCACCTCTCCAAGTTCTCCACTGCCTTAACCAGGTATAGGAGATTTTTGTGGCTTAGTATATATGCTGATTCTTTGTCTTCATATTTTCTAGTGATGTTCTCTGTCTATTATTTCAACCTCATCCCACAGAAGGCAGTGATCTCCCTTTTCCTTTTATATGTGGTCAGTTATGCCTGATTTTTCCGTTTCCCCTCATGTCACGGTTTTACATTTTTCTTGTAGTCTTACCTGTTTCTCCCATATATTTCTTACCACTGCTGCACAGGATGGCATACACACAGTCCTTAGTAATATTCTTCCTTGGGTCACCACTTATGACTTTTGCTCACTGTTGTAAACAGTGGAGTATCTTTTTCTTTACACTGTATTGGTAGTGGAAGTTGAAGTTAAGGTACTGTCTGGTGAATGTTGGCTTGCAGTATATGAATGTCTTGAACATGCTAGTTTGTTGTTGTTTTCTTTCTCCATTGTGAACTATATTGATGATCTTATTGAGTTCACATGGTCCAGTAGTAACTGGACCTCTTCCTGGTGAGGGCAGTATGAAAGTGTCATCTATGTATCTCAGCCAGAGGTTTGGCATTAGTGATATGGATTCTAATGCCATTTCTTCGAAGTATTACATGTATATGTTTGCCATTGCTGGTGATAATGGTGAGCCCATTGTTGAGCCTTCATCCTGTCAATATATGTTTGATCCCATTTTGAAGTCAGCATCTTCATCAGGTTATCTATTGGTATACTGGTCCATTCTCCTAGAAATGAGTCCAGGGCCAGTCTGTCCCTGACGACTGAGAGTACTTTCTCCATGGGTACCTTGGTGAACAAACTCACCACATCCAGGCTCACCATCTGGTTGAAATGGATGTGAGCATCTTTTATTATGTGCAGAGTTTTGGGCATATGAAGATGACTTTCTTATTAATGGGTCAATTATATCTACAAGGAAGTGACTCACAGGGTGACACATAGCCTTGGCAGCTAACAATCAGCCTGAGTGAAATACCGTTTTTGTGAAAGATCATATATATGAGGTTGCTTGATGTAATGCTGTGACAACTGCCTGTATGTCTTACATGCAAAGTGGTCCGTGTTTTTGAAATGTTGTGAATATGACAATGAAGATGTATTGAAATTATTATGTAGACAAAACAATTGCCTCCCTTTGAAGGGGACATTAGCACCGGCCTCTGGGATTGGCTGAAAGCAGCTTATCCTGCTTATCCTGTACCACCGACGAGTCAACACGGACAAATTTAGCTCCATAAAACTCAAACAGCAGCCACATGGTGTCTGGAAATGGAGTATCCAAGGACACAATGAAGGAACGAGGGTATCCCAACAATTAATGTGAAAATTGAATCCTTCTTTGACATAGAGACGAAAATATTCCGACATTGCAACAAAAATGAGAAGTACTGTTAACCGAATGAAGTTTACTGCCACCAATTAAGTCCTCACAAAAACCACTGTTTTTTGCAATGATTTTTAAACCCAATTTTTCTATCTTCCCTTTTTTCTTCCACTTTTTGATATAAAGCCTTTCTTTTTTCCACTCAAGTTTGGTGTTGTCCTGTTTTCTCCCGCTGTGCCGCATCAAAGCTCTTTTCACTCTTATTTTCTACAGAGGACAAACTATTGGTCACAAAAATTCAAAGGGTATAAAAACCCTCACAGGTGAGGAAAACAGTCTGAACAATGTAAAATAAATAATGTAAATAATTACGATACCTCATCTCAGAGATATAGACAGATAAAAAAACAAAAAATAGAAATCTATTAATAAAATTTTGCAAAACATAGGTCTAACTTTGGTGTTAAAGCATGTCAAATATAAAGCTGCAATAAAGTTTGTAGAACCCAAATTGTACATTATTCCAATACTTAAAAATAGTTTAATCAAATCTATGCAAAAAATGTGGATCACAGAACACTTTCAACCTTATACACTTTTTAAAAAATCTTGAACCCTCATTGGTTAATATACAAGTAGGCACGGCTATCCACCCATGCTTAACTAATTTTTACAGCTTGTGACTGAAATCCAAGTTCGTGCCAAGTCTCTGTGAGCCACCCGAAGCAAATAAAAACAGAAACTGATTCACAATCGCCAGTGAGCATTGTGACATCAAACGAATTGCAACTAAACTTCACTGCACACAATCTTAAGTTTTTTTATTCATATGAACAATATACAAACTTAACGATATTTACACTCACTCACCAAATTCCTTATGCAGAAGTTAAACAAATTCTTGCTAACAGATCAACTTTATTTCTCAACATTCGAGAACATTGTATTACACAAAACAATCAAAGGTAGATAACTTCTTTGATCACAAAATTGCATTCAACTTTACAAACATTTACTACTTACATGAACAGTAAATTCTCCTGCAATTTATTTACAGAATCTTCAATAACAGATTCTAACAAACATCCTTTTAAATCAGAACTCATTAACAAAATTTAATCTTTCACCAAACTTGAGTTCAATGTAAATTAAACTAACAAGATTTCACCTAAAAAAAAAAAAAAAAAAAAAAAAAAAAATCAACTATATTTTTGTAAAATATTTTCATTACAAAAATATTAAAAATTACTTGTTATGCAAATATTTGCCTTTTATCACAATTATTTCTTGTTGTTTTTCCATTTTTACTTAACATATTCGTAGAGTATTTTTAATTTTTTAATTGTATGGATTGATTTGGGCCGTCAACACCATTAAATAAATATGGTAACCACAAAAATTTCCACTACAAGTTACTCTTAGAAAATGCGATTTTCTCCATCAGTTTGGTATAGGTACCGCTATGGACTTTTTTTTTAAAAAAAAAAAAAAAAAAAAGAACCTGAAAAACACATTTTAAAAAGTTTTCTTCGAACTTAAAATCAGATTATATTTAAAAGAATAATGGTCTAAACAAAAGAATACTAATCCATATGAAAAGAAAAAGTAATTTCTTCGTATAAATAAACTTTTTTTGAGCTATTTTTAAAACAGTGGTACGTTTTATTTTATTATTCATTCACTACTAGTGAATAAGTCCTGAACATATCGTCTGAATCAGATAATTTTCCTGATTTTTGCCAAATATTTTTAAAAAGAGGTGGATGGAGATTTTTTTTTCATTGCGGAAAAAATATACAAAACAATAGCGTTAGATACCACCAAAAACTAAAAGCTTTACACCATTTTGGTGTAAAAGTGTAAATTTTGGACGTGCTAGGAATTATTAAAAAAAAAAAAAAAAAAAAAAAACTAAGAATACTTTGATCTTTCCTCTTGATAACAACAAACATTTTGTGATGATAAAATTTTGTTTTCGTCAAGTTTTTATGCTATGCTCATTTTCCAGCGATAAAAGATTTTTTAGTTTTTTCCTTCAGTTTTTCAGGGAAAAACAAAGAAGGTAAGCAAAACAGAAAGACCCATTTCAAAGTTTTGGGTGCTATTTTTGTTCGTCATCTAATTTTTACCGTAAAAATCTGGCAAAACTTCTTGATAACTTGAGAGCAGGAAATTCTTCGCTGCAAATTGAAAAGTTGATCACGCCCAGGTGTCAAACGAAAGAATAAGTTTCTTTTTTTTAACTTCAGACTTCGAGGCTTTGTTTGCTTAATGTAAGTAAAAAAAAAAAAAAAAAAATGACTTAAAAAACTTTTTTTTTTTTTTTTAGCATGATGAAAAAAGGCCTAAAACTTAATAAAAACAAAGGTTTATGAAAAAGTAAAAAGTTTATGTTATTAATTATTAATAAGAGGAAAGACCAAAGCATTTTTTAATGATTTTAAAAAATTTTTTTAATCATTTCTAGCACGTTTGAAATTTTGGTTGAAAATCTTTTTTTTTTACGTCAGCTGCCACGTAATTGGAAAACACATTAATTTGGAAATTCTTGGAAAAAACAAATAATTGTTGGATTTTAATGAAACTTTCAGAACTTATTAAATAATAAATTATTTTAGAAATGTTTTTTTTTTAGAAAGTTGTAGTGGATCTGAGAAGGCTGCATGAATATTTTAGTGTTTTGTTGCAAATGAAACATGTAACAATAACATCCACAAAAAAAAATCAATATACATTTATGACAAACGAACAGGTTCGGAACAACAAATAAAATTTTTATGTACAGAATTTTACAATTTGTGTTGTAATGTCGAGTGCGTAAAATTGTTCAGAGAATATTTAGGAGAAAAGGTTCTCATTGCTGGTTTGGAATATTAAATATAGAAAGTTCTGAACATTATTAGTTAAAAAGTTCAGTGTATGAAAGTTTGAGAAAAAATTGTTATTAGAAATTTAAAATACTGTTGCAGTGTAAATTTTAAATTTACAATTTTTAAGTAAGTGAAAGTTGTCTACCTTTAACTAGAAAAGTCAAGATTAGTAGACAAAATGTGATGATATAACCCAACTTCCCCATTCACGATAATGGACGGACTGGTTGCCGATTAAGTACGACCACAGCGGACAGGAAAAGGTCTTCGTTTGTTAACACCTATTGAGGTTAGCATACTCCCGACTGTCTGTATTTTGACATACCTACATCCGATTATAAAATTATTATTGAAAACCAACACTCGGGTTTACTTTGTTTATTATATCTTGCACGAGATATAACACAATTTTCTGAGAAAGATATTCTAGCGGAAAAAGTTGTCACAATGAATTGTTGAAAACGTTGGTGAATTGTGGTGTA